CTCTCATAATCTACCTTACTTTCCCACATAATATATATATACATATATACACACACACTCACATATATATACATACATACATACCCCACACATACACCCTCACATGTAAAAAAAAAAAAAAAAAAAAACCATAAATACATTTATACACCAACCTACACATTCCTCAGTGCAAATACTCTAACCAACACATAAATAAATATATATATATTTACACCAACACTGATAACACTATGCAGGTAAACAATACACACTTATATCGTAAGTATGACCATTATGCAATAAAAATACTAATCTATTAAAAATACAGCGACATATCATTATCATTTAAAGTATACGACCCCTACACTAAGTTAAATTTATAACGGTGTTTTACAATTTACTGTCAGTTCATATCTTTGATTTAAGAGATCAGCCTTGTTTTTAAATCTAATAATTTCAAATTTTTCATTAAGGCATAGGTAACATGGGGTATATAGGGAGTTACAAGTACGAGCTTTCGTAACCAAACTCCATTTAATCGTAGGTGTTTTGTTCTTATCTTTTAGATTCCAAAAATACTTGGATAATGAAGTCATGTACCTATATTCACTGTGATTAAAGGATTGCATATGCCCCCGCCAGCGTTCCTTGAATGTTTTCATAGTAGAACCAATGTAAAACTTCTTTATATTTGGATTTTCAATTGTTGAAATAGTACCAAGATAGACTACAGAAGTAATCCCACAGTTATTTTGTAGTGGACAATTATTCGGATTCCTACAATTACATAAGTTGTTATTTGTATTCTTATAGTTAGTATTGCAGTTAGTAACCTGTTGATTAGTCAAGCCTTTTGAATTCCTATACTTGTTAAAGACTATGTTGTTATGTTTTTTAATTATCTGCTCTAGGTTATCAGCACAACTATAGCTTAATTTAAGGGTATTAGGATTAAATATTTTACTAAGTGGGTTAGTTTCAGGGTTGGGGAAATGTTTTTTGATTAGGTTAATAAATATACGCCCTAACTTAGTTTTGACCATAACATTGAAAGGGGGAGTGAACCAAATAACCTTTCTAGATCTTCTTTTCCTATTATGGTTTGCAATTAACAGGGTTTTTATATTGAATAGTGGTATTTTTGTATCCACTATTTTTTAGTGCAGAATTATAAAATCACTATGTTTATTGAAAACCTCCTTATTATAAGAAGTTAGCGCTAATTCTAAATTCAATGGAAGTGGGTATATGTTTGATAACCGAAGGGGATGGTTGGAATTAGGATGAACGTATAATGGGTTGGAATTAACTTTCACATATGGTTGGAAAATATTGTTAGCAAGATCTAGGGTGACATCTAGAAAATCTACTTGTCTAACATTAGTAGTAACTATTGTCCTAAGACCTAAATCCTTAAATACCCTATAGATCATTTTCCTAATACGGTCTACCTTAATTTTAGTTGAGTTTTTAACAACTAATAATCCATCATCTCTATATAATCCTACACTATCTGAATCTAGACAATCGAAGGCACTTAAATTATATAAAAGAAATAATCCAACCAAGTCCGAAGCTTCAGCAGAATCCAAGGAACCCATGGAAATGTCAAAATTGTTGTTGGAAGACTTTTTGGTCCACTGTTCATCCTTGTAAATTAGAACAGAATTTCGACACTTCATGATGATATCAATTTCACTCTCAGAAATAGTAGAATATTCCCGGGCGAAGTCCAGTGCCAAGGTGAAAAGATCCTTCGATATAGATGGATAATAGTCGATAATATCGAACTGTATGAATGAACATTTTCCCTTATATCGTATGTTGTTAAACCAGTTGATGACCTCAGTTGTGCTAATCCACTGGAGCAGTCCAAGGGTGTTTTTAATGGAGTGGTTGATTCTTTCTAAGATGGTCTTGCTAATCCTACCGATTTCTGGTCTTGTAGGATTTATAAGTCTAGTGGATGGCTTAGTTTTGAATTCGGGTTTATGGTCCTTTAATAAGACATAGGCTTCTTTAGTTTGTAGTTTGCCTACCCGATCACTAATTCGTAACTTATCAGTAATTGATTTACTGATACTGTTGATATTATTTACTTGGTTGAAATTACTAGTATCAATTTTTTGGTAGCTTCTGGTTAGACTATCCTTAACTAAAGTATCATAATCCTTAGGCGATAACTTATAAAAGTTAGCCGTTTTGTCGGATTTAACGTACATATCACTAGATTTATTAATATCACTGACAATATTTTCGAGATGTTTTTGAAAAGCATTTTTATACTTGTAGAAGGTTAATCCTTTGACGGTATCCATTAGTTCATTTTCAAAAGCAGATAATTCCTTAATAATAGGTGCAGTTTTTAGCTTTTTAAAACCATAATTTTCGCGTTCACACACTGGTTCCTTGTCTTGAAGAAAGAAGTAAGCTTTCCATCTCATTCTTCTGATAAGGTTTTCAGTTTGCAGAGTTAAATGTACGAAATAATCCCTTTTGTTTGTAGTGGGAATGTTCTTAA